GAAAATGTGGTTAGTTGCCCAGCGAGCTGGTTAGATATAAACGCCAATTGCTATTATATTTCTAATGAACCTGAGAGTATTCAAGAAGTAATGGATACTTGCATTATCGAGTCAACACTCGAAAAAAATTCTAGTACATTCACAATGATGTCAATTGATACGAATTATACAGTTGTTAATCTTGATGATAAGAACAAAACGATTATCAAACACAAGAATCCTTTAATTGATACTCTTGAAGATGAAATCGCACAATATATGTTACCATGGGAAGTTCGTCTTGGTTTTTTTCTTCTTGATACAAGTAAATTATCGCGGAGACTACTAAGTATTGTTTTTTTTTCTTATAGCTGTCCCTAGCAGTGTCCGACGCGGAACAATTTTTTCACAATTGGTTCCGAGGTCAATTTTTTCTTTTGCTGAGTAATATGCAGAACTTTAGTTTATATATCTTTCAGAGTTGACTAGAATTTAATCATTTTAGAAAGAAAAACCGACCTATATGCAGTTTTAGCAAATAACGTTTTATGTTATTCAGCATTCTACTGAAAATTATCTTCTTTCCTTTTCTTATTCTTTTTTCTTGGTTGATGGTAGAAACTACTGATATTACTAGTTAATGCAACAACATCATGTGATTATACTTCAGTGTTCCCTTGCATTGATTCATAACGAGCTGATCAAGCAGGTAGTCATTTTGATCAGTTCAAATAAAACAGTGTATCTCCCACTGTGTTTCAGAATTAAGAGATATCAGACTGAATTTTATATATGTTATGCAACCTTTTATTCTCTACAAAATAGTAAAAAAAATATTGGAGAAAAGAGTTTGATTTTTATGCGAAAAAGGGCTTACGCTCTCGAATTTTTCGTGGTTTTTTGTGATTCTTCAATAGAAAATGAATGTTTTTAGCGATTTGCATTGGTATGACCTAATGCTAAATCAAAATAAATACGATATTCGGAATCAGCATGAAAAACTGCATCTATCTATATACGTTTTAGAGAGAAATTTTTCAGGCCAAAATTAACCTGTGCTTCCCTACAGCTTTATTTAAAAGAAATTTTTTCCCCTGGTCCCCCCAACGTCAATTTTGACAGGGAAAATTTTTTCGCTAAAACATATATGGATAGATGCAGTTTTTCATGCTGATTCCGAATGTCATGTTTATTTTGATTTATCATTAGGTCATACTTATGCAAACCGCTTAAAATCTTTACTTTCTATTGAAAAATCACGAAAAACTCGAGAGTGTAAGTCCTTTTCGTATCAAAATCAAACTTTTTTCTCAAATATTTTTTTACCACTTTGTAGAGAATAAAAAGTTTCATAACATATATAAAATTCAGTCTGGTATCTCTTGCTTCTGAAACACAGTAGGTGATACACTGTTTTATTTGGACTGATCGAAATGACTACCTTTGACTTATATTAGCCTTATAAAACTAGAATTGTTAGAGATTATATTATATCAAAGTAGCTTATTTTGTTCAGCTTTTAGTTCTCTATCTTCCTATGTGTACCATAAAAATTTTTAATAATCTGTTGAAATAGGAGCTGGTATATCTTTTATAAGATATTTTTCTGTTTTTTTTTCCCCAAAAAAGGTGTGATAGTACTAAAAGTCGGTATTGACTAACTTTTCATAGGAAGGATATTAGAACTTAAAATTTTAGGGTTGATAGTTTTTGGACATTGAAGGTTTGAATGTGCAAAAAATATCGAAAAATAAAATTTAATCGAGTGCCTTGTATACTCGATGCCCTCGTCGACGCTCTCTTAAGATTGTCACATCACTAACGAACATATTATACATTTCGTGTTAGTTTTTGTGAAATATAAATGGATAGAAAATAATCAAAGAATAAAAACAGTTATAAAATACACGTTGCTTTATTCTATCTAATTGTGTGTTGTGCTATAACAGCATGTGCAAAGAAAAAACTTCATATGATTTTTGAATCTTGAGAATACATACTTGATATAATCCAAGTACGACACTAATTCCTAGTCGACTGAATCTTATTAATCATTTTATTGAATAATTAAGTGCTAGATAGTAGTGAGATTGTATAGTATATATGAACAGTTTACTTTAATTCATAGGCTGAACGTTTATTGACAGTATACTATTGGCATGCGAGTTAGAGAATAAATGTGATTTTATCATTCAATACTGACGATCTTTAAGTGACGAAAATATTTCATTATCAAATTACTAGTATTTCAGAATAATTTTTTTTTAAAAAATTGTTGATTTTACTAGAGATTATTTTCACTGCAATCTATATCAGTTTTTTATCCGAGATTTCTCGGTATGTTAGATCTTAGATTCTGAGCGTGGGATCTAGATGAAACTTATGAAGTGTCATATTAAATCTAAATGACGAAGCTTTATGAGAAAAAAGTTTTTGATTGGAGTAAGCGAAAAAAAAAAATAATATTCTTTTGCTTGCGGTTCCGAGAAATTTGTTTAACACCTTTTAGAGTTT